CTCCTGGGCGTATTCTGGGGGCCTCCGGGGGCTTCCTCGGGCCACCCTGCCTCCAACCGCGGTCTCCTTGAACGACCGAATCACGATTTGGAATTCTTCGGAGGGCGTCTTTGGGCCATCTTGGGCCGCCATGGGGCTCTCTGAGGGCCATCTTGGACCCGTGTTGTGCCGTTTTGGGGCTCTCTTGGATTGCTTGGAAGCCCTTTTGGGGCGATTTTGGAGCCTCCCAGGCGGCTTCGGACGCCCAGAAGACCGCCGTCTTGGAGCGTCGGGAAGCCGAAAAGAGGAGAACCCCCACATTCACCAAAAACCAACAGAAAATCTATGATTCTTGCCTCGGGGGGCCTTCTTGGGAGTGCTCTTGGAGGCCTCTTTGGGGCCGTCCTGGAGGCCTCTTGGGCCATCTTGAGGTCACGTCGGTCACTCTTGGAGCGCTCTTGTGCTGTCTTTGGGGTCTCTGGGACGTCTCCGATGACCCCCCTGCTCGCCCTATGTGTGCTGGGAAGGCTTGGCAAAGCGCCCTGCGAGGCCCGGTGGCCGCTTCGAGGCCCGTCCGGAGGGTCCCAAAGCCCCAGATCCCGGGAGTCCGGTTTTGGGTGGGGGGGACGGGTTTTCCCCCCCGCCCGGGCTTATAAAAATATAGGAAGAGGAAAATCCCGGATCGAGGGTTCGCAGGCCCCCCACCCAGATGGAATGGATCCCAGTGCCCTGCCCCACAGCCCCCCCTTGAAGACGAGTCAACGGCGGCGACGACGACGACGACGGCGGCGGCGACGACGACGACGACCGACGACGACGACGACGACGGCGGCGGCGGCGACGACGACGGCGGCGGCGATGACGCGACGACGACGACGACGCTGCACTCCACGCCCACACGGGGCGGACCCATCGCGCTCGCGGGGGGGAGGGGACTGGCCGAAGGTATCAGCATGCGACGGGGGGCGGAGCCATGGACCACGCCTCTCATATACCGGAAACCCAGCCCCGGGGGCCCCCAGGCCGCAGCAGACCAGGGGCACCAAGTATACACTAAGTCCCCCTCCCCCCGTGAGCCTCCCCAGGGCCTCCCTTGAGCCTCCACTTTTCCAGCCCCCCGGGGCTTCCAGGTCCCAGACGGACCAACGTGGCTTCCGAACGGCCCAGGATGACCCCAAGACGCCCAAGACGGCTTCAAGTGGATCTTCAAGAGGGCCCGAAGAGGCAAACATCGCATTAGTCCACTTAGGACAACGCACATTTCTAGCACGCTCGCTGTTTTCATGTGCGCAGCGTCTAAGACGGCCCCAGAGGCCCTCCAGAAAGCGCACAAACGGCCCAGTGGGTCCCGCAGAGGGCCCTTAAGACGGCCCAAGAGGGCCCCAACCTGGTCCAAAAGGCACCCAGGACCGCCCAAGACAGCCCCAAGCCCCAAGAGGGGTCCTGGGGGGAGAATTCGAACCCACATGTCGGCGCCGTTTCGGTTTGCGGCGCCCTTCGGTTTTCGGCGCTCCTTTGGTTCTCGGCGCTCTTGTGGTTTTCGGTACCCCTTTGGTTTTCGGCGCCGTTTTGGTTTTCGGCGCCGTTTCTATTATCGGTGCCCTATTGATTTTCGGCGCCCCTCTTGTTTTCGGCGCAGTTTTGATTTTCGGTGCCCTTTGGGTGTTTGGCGACCCTTTGGTTGTCGGCGCCCTATTGGTTTTCGGCGCCCTTTTGGTTTCTGGCGTCCTTTTCAAGTTCGGCGACCCTTCTGGTTTTTAGCGCCCTTCTTGGTTTCGGTTCTCTTTGGTTTTCGGCGCCCTTGTGTATTTTTCGCTGGTTATCGGAGCCTCTTTCGTTTTCGGCGCCCCGATGGGTTTCGGAACTTTTTGTTTGTTTGTTTGTATTTGGTGCCTCTTTGGTTTTCGGCGTTTGTTAGGTTTTTGGTGCCTTTTGGTTTTCGGCACCCCTGTGCTTGTCAGCGCTCCTTTGGTGTCCGGCGCTCCTTTGGTTTTCGGCTCTCTTTTGGTTGTCCGCGCCCCTTTGGTTTTCGGCGCCCCTTTGGTTTTCGTCGCCCCTTTGGTTTTTGACGCTCCTTTGTTTTTCGGCGCTTCTTTGGTTTTCGGCGCTGCTTTTATTCTCGGCGCCATTTGTGTTTTCGGCGTTCCTTTGGTTTTCGGTGCGCCTCTGGTTTTCGCACCCTTTCGGTTTTCGGTGGCTCTTTGGTTTTCGGGGCTCTGGTTTTCAGCACCCTTTTGGTCTTCGGCGCTCCTTCCTTTAAGTCAAGGGGGGGGGGAAGGGGGGGGGGCTTCTAAGACCCCCTCCGTTAGCCCAAAAGGGGGGGAGGGGGGGTCTTCCAGCTGGGGGGGGTCAAACGGGGGGGGTAGCCAAGCCTCCCCCGGCAGGGGAGGTGCAAGGGGGGGGGGGTAGTTAAGCACCTCCCCCTTGGAAAGGGAGGGGGAGGAGGGGTGGCGTTCGGAGCGCGAAAGGGGAGAGGGGGGGGGGTAGCTTCCGAGGATGGGGAACAAAAAGGAGGGGGGGCGCTTCCGGCAAGAGAGGTCCAAGGGGGTCGGGCCAGCCGAGCTTAGGGGAACCCCCCTCCCGTTTGGGAGTGTACCACGGGCGCGCTCTCTCGTGCATGTAGTGCAGCCGTGCACCCCAACCAGTGTGAATGCACCACGTAGGGGGGCGAGAGCTTTGTGATGCAAGGGGGCGAAAGCTTTGTGATGCAAGTAGTGTGTGCTAAGCTACATGGCGCAAGAGGTGTTGTGGAAACTACGTGGTGCAAGCAATGCGGCGCTGCTGAGAGATATCGTGGATATCGTCGAGACGCACTTGAGGGTATCTTAGAGGCACTTCCGAATCTCATGAAAGCAACATCCACGAAAAAGATGTACGCACTTGAGGCGCGAGTGATGCAACACGGCCTCATGGTGAATCCATGCCCGCACCGAGTTATTCCCAGGCTGATCTGATCGAGCATCTTCGCGGGCGTTTTTTATGGCAGAGCAAGTGCACGTCTCATGATTCTGGAGCTGTTCCTAGCTTGGCCTCTGCTTGGGGGCCCGTTCGCAGCTTCCTTTTTGGCGTGCCCGTCCCTGGTCGACGGGGGAATACAGTGGAGACCCATGCGTAGAAACATATTGCTTGCCTCCAGGGTGCCCTGGGTTCCTTGGGTTTCGATGGCTTTGCTGTGGAGAGCGCGACGTTCCCGCACCAAAAACCAATGGACGTCCCAGGGTCTCATGGTTGGATTTCTTGTCGAAGGTCTCTTGTGGACTGGCTTCCACTGTAACGCGTGCAACCAGGGAGTGACGCATCCAACCGGGGAGTGGACGACTGGCTCCCCCCCCTCCCATGTCTTCGGTCGTAGATCGTGTGGGCCTTGGAGGTCTTCGCAATTCTGCCTTTAGAATGCGTCAGCGTGCGCGGTAATTCTGCTTTTTAGCGCCTAGTGGTCGGTAGAAAAAAACACATCTAGCGTCGATACGCGTCGATGTGGTGCCGATTCGAGTCGGTTAGCGTCGTTTAGCGTTGCTTCGCAAGAGGCTGCAACATGGTATGGGAGGCCTGGCATGAGTTGCCACCAAAACTGTTTTCTCTCTCTCTCTCTCTCTTGCGCAGGCTGCAGGGGGCGCCACGCTGGCGCTTGAAGCGTCAGGCACCCGCGGGCTTCCGCGGGAGAGCAGGGAACGCAGTGCAACAGCACAAGCCACCGAGAAGCAGAAGAAGCACCATGTGATATGACATGCTGAAGATGAAATGTCCGATGGGGAGCACGGAAGGGCGCGAGGTTGCTGGAGGAGTCCCGCTCGGGGTGGCGCTCGGCTGCCACTTCCGCCACCGCCTGTCTTCCCTCCTCCTCCCCCCACGCCCCTCTGGCCCGGAGGGTCGGGAGGGAGGCCCAGCCTGGAGCTCCGGCCCCTCGCCCGCGGTTCGCGGGCGGCCCCGCGCGCAAACGCTCCTGCGGCGGGACGGCGCGGCGCGCTTGCCTCGCTCGACAAGGCGTGCGCTCGTCTCCCTCTCCCTCTCTGTTTTTTGTTTTTCTTTCTTTCTTTCTCTCTCTCTCTCTCCCTCGCTTGTTTTTGTTGTTCTCTCTCTCTCTCTCTTTCTCTTTCTCTCTCTCTCTCTCCTCTTGTTTTTCCCTCTCTCTCTCTCCTTCTCTCACGTCCGGTAGCAAACTACTGGAGCCTTGTGGGCCGTCGCAATTCCGCTTCTAGAGTACATTCGCGCGAACTCGCGTCGGGTAATCATCGATTGGAGCGCCAGATGTAGCGTCGAGCGTCGATTTAGCACCGATTTGCGAAGGTTTGCATCGATGCGCAAGAGCCAATAAGATTGTACGGGATGCTTCAGAAGCTGCCGCTGAAATTTTTTTTTTTGTTTTTTTTTTTTTTTCTTTTTTTTTGTTCCTCTCTCTCTCTCTTTTGTCTCTTTCTCTCTCTCTCTCTCTCGTTCTCTCCCTCATTCTCGTCATCCTGCTCTTGCTCCGATGAGGGGGTGGGAGGAGGAGGAGGTGGAGGAGGTGGAGGAGGAGGAGGAGGCGGAGGAGGAGGAGGAGGAGGAGGAGGAGGAGGAGAGGAGGAGGAGGAGGTGGAGAGGTGGAGGAGGAGGAGGAGGAGGAGGAGGAGGAGGGGGGGGAGGGGGAGGGGGAGGGGGAGGGGGAGGGGGAGGAGGAGGAGGAGGAGGAGGGAGAGGAGGGAGGAGGAGGAGGAGGAGGAGGAGGGAGGCGGAGGAGAGGAGGAGGAGGAGGAGGAGGAGGAGGAGGAGGCGGAGGAGGAGGAGGAGGAGGAGGGGGAGGGGTGATCCGCTGTGATCCGCCGCAGGTGATCCGCTGTCGCACCAAGCATTGCGCCGCAGAGCCCCGTCGCCTGCTTGGGATGCGCACTTGTCTGCGCCCAGACCAGCAACGCTGCCCTGGAACTGGCCGACGACCTACCTTTTGTACTCAAAAGAGAAGTTGAACACAAATGTGCTGCCGTCGTCATCGCGCCGGCGCCGCCTGCGCCGGCCGACGCGCAACTCCAACTCGACACGGCCAGGCACGCCAGCAGCGACACCAACGCCGAATGGGCGGACGCCGTCACGCCAGAAATGGTCCAACAACCAGTGCCCACGGCCGCCCATATACCGCCGCACGCTCGCGGGGTGGTGGGCGCCATCATAACTGAGCACACGAAGGCTTTCGCCCACGAGGTCCACCACGGCACCCCGGAGTCCATCACCAAGGCGGCCAAGCGTTGGTTCATGCTCCCTAAGCTGCTGTTCGGGCACGCCAACCTCCGAGGCGGCAAGAAGGGCAACGCTCAGCTCACCACTACGCTGTTCCGCCGGGCCTCGGAGATCAGGGAGCATCGCGAAGCGCAGCTTTGGGGCGCCGTCCTTGACTCCGCCCCACCTCCTTTGCGCGCCAGGCGGAAAACTACCGCAGAGCACGACGTTATGACGGCGCGCAGACTCGTGGAGGCAGGCGCCGTGGGCAAAGCTACGAGAGTCCTCCGCGAAACACTCGAAATTGTTGGAAACCAGTTGACCCTTCAAGCCGCACCGCAGCTCTTCCCACACCATCAACCACAGCCACCAGCCGGTTACGACGAACATGACGACGAGCAGCAACAGTTCGAGCTACACTTCGCCAAAGCCTTGCGGGCCGCACCAAAACGAAGCGCAGCTGGGCCCGACGGGTGGCGGTACGAGCACTTCCAACTCGTCCAAACTGACCTGTCCGCTCTGTGTGCCCTGGCCACAGTGGCCGCAGCACTAGCCCGCGGTACCCTCCCGCAGGAAGTGCAGGAACTGGCGACGGCCGCCCGCCTCGTCCCGCTCACCAAGAACCCCATCCGAATCCGCCCCATCAACCTCGCCAGCCCGCTCCGCCGTCTCGCGTCCAAGGCGGTCAACAAAATGGCGGCGGACGAGGTCGCCGAGGGGCTTCGCGGCAAGCAGTTCGGGTACAAGCACACGGCCGGGGCGGAAGTGGTCCACAAGCACTTGTCCACTGCCCTCCACGTACGCCCGGACTACGCTGTGCTCTCTCTGGACGCTGCAGACGCCTTCCAGAACCTGAGCAGGGTGTACATCCACGAAGGTATCGATGCTCGTTGCCCAAAGCTCTGCCGATGGGCAAGGGGCTTCCTGCCGGACGCCGGGCAGGTGGTCTACCGCGACACCGGGGGCAGAAGACACATTTGGAACCAAACGACGGGTATCTTCCAGGGGTGCGGCATTGCCACCACGCTCTACTGCCTCGGATTCGACCGAGCCCTCGAGAGGGCCAAACACCAACTCGACGCAGCAGGTATACAGCACGAGCTTTTCGGCTACATCGACGACCTCACCATCCTTGCGAAGCCTGGGGACCTACCCACCATATACGCAGCCTACACCAACGCACTGAGCCAAGCCGGCCTCCAAACACGCGTCGACAAATGTGAGGTGTGGGCGAGGAGTCCTGCCGCGATGCCAGCGGGCCTACCCGTGCCGCGAGTAGAGCAGCCCACGATCTTACGACAACGCGCCGACGACTACTCCGGCCTGGCACCGGCGCCGGTAACCGCCGACCAGCACGCCGAGGAGGGCAGCCTGCACCCACCCGCCTCGCCGCGATTACAACGCCAACGAACCAGGAGAACGACTGCCATGGCCAGACTCATGGACCTTCACAAAGCCGGCCTAGACGTTCGGACGTCTTTGGTACTACTACGAGCCCTCACTGCAGGAGACATGACGTGGCACATGAGCACCGCCGGGAGTCCCGCCCAAACGGCGACCCAGCTCGACGCCGACCTACTCAGCACACTGGAGGAGCTAGTGCAAACGCGCGACCTCACAGCGGAGCAGAAAGAGACATGCTGGCACCCTGTCGCTTTGGGCGGCTTGGGATTCCAGAGCGTGAGCGCAGTGCGCCTGGGTGCTCAGGCGGCCTCATGGGCACTCTGCGAGAAGCCAGTGCTCCAGCGACTGAGCCTCCGCGACAGAGATTGCCTTCTCCATTATTGCCCGGGCTTGCGACCGGCGCTCCACCGCTTCCAGAGCACTGTCAATGCGCTGACACAGGAAGAGGCGGCGCAACAGGCGCCCGACACGGAGCCGCCCGACACCACCCAGCGGCGCTTTACCAGGCACAGGCGGCACGCAGAGTGGACGCAGTGGCTACGACGCACCCAGGCGGAACCGCGCCGACGGGCCTGGGCTCTTAGCGCGACAGGCAAGGGGGCAGGCGCGCGGCTCGGACCGCCCACGCGGCCCGACCACCACCTCGCTGACGCCCGCTTCAGGATGGCCGTGAGACACAGACTCGGAGGTCTTGTGCGCGCAGCTGACGGCCCCTGTCCCTTCAGAAAGGAGGACGGAACCCTTTGCGCCAGCACCGTCGACACTAACGGACGCCACGCGCTTTGCTGCTCCTATGGCGGCTTCATGGTTAAGAGTCACAACAACCTGCGAGACGCCATCGCGCGAGCCCTACGTGAAGCCGGCATTTGCGACGTCGCAGTCGGACCATGGATTCGCCCGCCCACCGGGCCGGGCAATCCGGGTCTCCGCGCGGACCTCAGGTGCGCCGACAGCGACGGCCAGTGGGCTCATCTTGACCTAACGATCGTGCATCCCGCCTCGCAGCAGAGCCTGCAGGCCGGAGGGGCCCACGCCCGAGGCACCGCTGCGAGACTGGCCGAACAGGCCAAGCGCCGCAAATGCAACGGAGTCGCTGGTTTCCAGCCCCTCGGCTTCGAAGTTTCGGGCGCCATGGGCGAGTCCACCCAGAAATGGCTCGCGCAGCATGTGCTTGAGGGCCCTGGGCGACAGGATATTCTCAGCACTCTCCACCGGTCCATCGCCACCTGCGTGGTCCGGGAGGTGGCGCGCACGCTCATCAGCGCTGCCTGAGGTGGTCGTCGGGCCAGCCAGCGCGCCTAACGCAGGGGCCTGGTGGCTCACACCCCTGGGCCTGGAACCGGCGGCCTAGCACGACGACGGCGCCAGCGCGAGGACAGCGCTGCTGCAGGAGGACGCGCGAGGACAGCGCTAGCACGAGGACAGCGCGAGGACAGCACTAGCACGAGGACAGCACAAGCACGAGGACAGCACTGGCACGAGGATAGCACTAGCACGAGGAGGGGGAGGGGCGCCGAGGAGGCGCGCCGAGGAGGAGCGGCGAGGCCAAGAAGGAGGAACGCCGAGGAGGAGCGCCGAGGAGGAGCGGCGGGAGCGGGCGGCGGTGGCGGCGGCCGGGAGTGGCGGCGGGGCGGCTCCAGCGGCGGCGGCGGACGGACTGGGGGTG